TACATTACATTACATTACATACATACATACATTACATACATTACATACATACATACATACATACATTACATTACATTACATTACATTGCATTGCATTGCATTACATTACATTACATTACATTACATACATACATACATATATACATATATATACATACATACAGTATACCCAAACAGTATCCCCTCAACACCTCAACTGCTCAGCCTTTGGCGCCAATCAAGCCCAAGCATCCACCGCATAGCTGCACTTGCGCGTGCAGCCAATGGAGGCCAGCGACCACATGGATTTCAGGATGGCCAACACCGAGAGCAGGTCATCTGTCATCTGCCTAAGTGCCAAAGTGCAGGGGTCATGTTTTGTTATAATAGATGGATAGATAGATGATGATCATGAGAATAAATATATATATATAACTATAATTATATGTGATTAATTTTGATTAATTTATATATGTGTATATGTCAATGATGTCAATGATGATATATCAATGACCAATGGAGAAGAAAAACTATACATCAATAGATACAGTAGATGATAATCACGATCCCAACGTTTAGAAATATCAGTATGTAGATATAAGAAATCATAATCCCATAATTCGTCAAAATAAATAGATGATTAATAGCAATGTATATGTCGCAAACTATATATCAAAAGATTATGTATAACTGGTGTATCAATAGGTATTTTAAAAATATCAAAAGATATCAGAAATCATCTCCCACACTTCATCATTGGAGGTTGACTATCATCAGAGATGTGACATGATGGCTATTATGGGTCTAGTAATCCTAAATTATAATGGTCCCAGCCATCATTTCCAGGTTCCAACTGTTCTATCCTGGGAGTCATGGATGTGCAACCTGTAAGAATGGCATTTAGAGGTATTGATCCATAGGAATATGAATATGGTGATATACCAAGTACGTAATAAACATTGAGACATATTATATGATAAACCTTAATAAATCAGCCAATACTAGACCACTGTTATAATAAGTCAAGTCTAATCATACCAAATTGGGTTGAAGGGTTTGTTGATACCAAATAATAATCCAATCTATATTAAATAAAACCATATATATATAGGACAATACGATTGGTGATACCATATAAAAACATCATATTTGATACCAATTTCTTAAAGAAATATTGATACCACATGTATTATTTAATAAACCTCACAATTTCTTTCATTAACCGATGACTCTTGGGTCAGATTTTGGGGGTAGCGAGAGAGCGTCAATTTGCGTCAATGGAATGGGTAAAGCCAAGAATCAATGGATAAATATATGTCATATGATGTCATATTGTCTGTAGATGTCTATACATGTCTATAGTCTACATTGACCCTATATTGTATTTTCTTTGCAGGATGTCATCCACAAACGGAATCTATGTCGGGGTTTCTTTATTCTCTATTGCGTTTACCATATTCGGAGGCTGCTTTGGGCCTGGATGGCCCCAAGGTTGCCTGAAATTCATCATTTTTGGCGTCTGAAAATAGGATGCCCCCATTAAAACTGCTATAAATTGCTAATGTATCCAGCCGTTTTTGGTTACCCTCTGGCAATCAAAACATGGAAATTGAAAATCCTCCATGAATGGTGTTTTAATTTGCAAATCCTCTATAAATGGTGGATTCTTCATTGCTATGTTTGACCGGAGGGTAACCCAACAAATCCAACCAGAAATGGCGTGACACACCCAGCCCGCGAGCCTTTCTTGATCCACGGACTTTTGTGAGACGCCCCAGTCGTCTACATGGTGGTATTGATTCACCACAGCTTGGGTACCTGGCTTTGTCAACTGGCGAAACAGGATGAGGATGTGTGTTTTTTCCTTGCGACAAGGTTCACATATATATATATTATGTATACATAGAAAAAAAATATATATATATATATAGAAAATATTGAAAGCTGCATAAAAACTGCCACTTGTTGATGTGGAAGCGTTGTTCACCCACAACAAACACTTGAACCGATTCAAAATATCTCCGTCCCCTCACATTCAAGCGTGGCAAGTCAAACCAACGCCTGAAGGAAAAAACTGCGGAAGAGCTGATAAATACCAACACCAACCCTAGAAAACTTGCGGTTTTTGAACCCTTTCAGCATTTCCGGCATTCCAAGTCTCAAAGCTGTTCAAAACATCCCAATTACTGGAAAAATCTATCATTCTATCCAGATCTTCGCCGGGGACTTAAAGTTTTGTTTTTTGGTTCATTCACGAATCTATAGCCTTTGCCGAAAGAAAATCCTGCCGATATTTGCTCCAAATTGCAGTTCTTCAGCTTGCAGGGGAAGTCCATCTATATCACGGCGCCGCGCACGGAGTGGCAGCGCTGGTACCTCGCTGCGGATTGGCCAAGCTCGAGTGGGTCATGGTCAACCACTGCTTGACCAGCAACATGTGGGATGGATAGGGATTGAAATCGATTTACCCATGGCATTTAAAAAAAAACTGCAATGTGGTAAGCCCAATCATAAACCCAGCAACCTAGCATTTAGGGATGATGGTTACCACCCAGTTGCGGAGATTTGGTCGATGGTTTATTATTGATTCGACCCCAGTGGTGATCATCTGCCAAAATCGGATGGAAATGACCTGCAGTTGACCATCCAGCCTCTGTTTGTGGGGAATTTTTGTCTACCAAACATAAAGATTCTCAAGTTCACAGAAATTCTTCTGGGTCAACCATCACTTATTTCAACCTCGGATTAGTAGAGCCTGGTTAAATGATTCGGGGCTCACCCACAAAAAGTGATACTTGCTATCATGGTTCACCCCAATGTCAACGGCCCAGGACCACACGCTCCGGAAAATTGCTGATCTTATAAGAGTATTCATCAACATGGACCCTGTGGCCGGTAATTCAACATAGAAAATCACCTTTCAAAAGGCAAATCCAGGATCCAGCACCGAAACTGAGCGTCAGTTTCATGTATTGGATCGCCAAGATCATGGGTTAAGAATGGGATTCCCAGCTCAGCTACGATCATCCCCAAATAGACTGGGGATAGTATAATGTAGTATAATGTAGTATAATGTAGTATACCCCTTACTATCATCAACCAACCATCATCTGTCAATCAAATCCCCATATGTTTGATGCTTGAAACCCTTATCAATGACGGTTGAATCACCGTTGATGAATAGATGATGCTTTCATCCCCAATAAATATAACCAATAACATAACAAGTCTGGGTGATATAAACCCAACATCAACCACTGCCAGAACCCTTCATCAATGCCGAGTTTCTCCGCTGCACTGCGGCCCCAAGGCCCCTAAAAAAAAGGTCGCCGCGGCAAGCGGCTGGAGCCGAACAACGGGCATGAACGATGCGGATCCAACGAGCCGCTGATCTTCTCTGAGTTACCCGGCCTGGTAAACATACAAAAAACGATGGAAAATCACCATGCTATTAATGGGAAAACTCACTATTTCGACTGGGCCATTTTCAATAGCAAACTGTTAAATTACCAGAGGGTACACCCATAGAATCAAAGGTCCCCAGTATGTCCCAGTCATGGGTGATTTCATCCCCTTCATGCTTTCTGGTGGATAGAGCATTAGGGCACAATTTTTGGCGTCCATTGATTCAATCCCAGAGTTCTGGAGAAATCTAGATGGCGTGTTGCTTCTTACCATGATGGAAAGCCATGGCTATGAACCAACAACGCTCCGCTCTGATGAAAACGAGCGGCGCAGCTTGCAATGCGTTCACATTTTTCCTCAGGCCCACAACCACTCACGGCCCTTCGTGATATCCAGATATGTTGCTGGATCATATCCAAGTTGGTCTGCTAACATCCTGCATGTCTGCAAGTGCAAGGGAAGATCTGCTAGCGTAACATCCCGCACGCGTGCAAGTGCAAGAGAAGATCTGCTAGCGTAACATCCCGCATGCGTGCAAGTGCAAGAGAAGATCTGCTAGCGTAACATCCCGCGTGTATGCAAGTGCAAGAGAAGATCTGCTAGCGTAACATCCCGCGTGTCTGCAAGTGCAAGGGAAGATCTGCTAGCGTAACATCCCGCACGCGTGCAAGTGCAAGAGAAGATCTGCTAGCGTAACATCCCGCACGCGTGCAAGTGCAAGAGAAGATCTGCTAGCGTAACATCCCGCGTGTATGCAAGTGCAAGAGAAGATCTGCTAGCGTAACATCCCGCGTGTATGCAAGTGCAAGGGAAGATCTGCTAGCGTAACATCCCGCACGCGTGCAAGTGCAAGAGAAGATCTGCTAGCGTAACATCCCGCGTGTATGCAAGTGCAAGGGAAGATCTGCTAGCGTAACATCCCGCACGCGTGCAAGTGCAAGAGAAGATCTGCTAGCGTAACATCCCGCGTGTATGCAAGTGCAAGAGAAGATCTGCTAGCGTAACATCCCGCGTGTATGCAAGTGCAAGAGAAAATCTCCTAGCGTAACATCCCGCATGTGTGTAAGAACGCAAACCCACCCTTCAAACACTGCGGGCAGTCGTAAAAAAGACTCCGGAACACCTCGTGACTTGGGGTTCCGCAACGGCGAAAATGCGCGTTTTCACCAGATCGGAGCCACCAACAAAATGGGCATTAAACATGATTAAACATGATTAAACCACGAGTTTATGCTTGTCATACACGTGTTGCGGCTCGAACCAAACGCATACCAATACCAGATCACGTGCTCAAAGACTGCTTGGATCCATGGGGGTTGCGCACCATGGGTGATGGTTGGGCCCTCCACAAAAGACATCTGCATGTAGTGCAACTTGTGCACATTCCTCCACGGCGGAGCGAGTTCCCTTCGGCGGATATATATATATATATATATATATGGTTATCTATGGTTATCTATGGTTATTAGTGGTTATTAGTGGTGATTAATGGTTATTAGTGGTTATTAATGGATATTAATGGATGATGATGATGATGATGATGATGAAGATGATGAAAATGATGAAAACGTCACCCTGCCATGATGAACATAGCATCTGCCATCTGCGACCAATCTTCTAGGGCTGTTCCGCAAGAATGGTTTGAACCCCTTCATGAACCCACTGAAAGAGTCCTTCAAAGGACGGAGGCCCAACTACTTTTGAACATTTGACTTGAGGTGTAAGGTCGTCTAGCCGGACCTAGCAAAGCCTGGAATCTGGGACCTGTTTTGGGGGTTTGTACATGTGAGATTTCTGACAAATGCCGAAGTTTTTATCCAGGCGATAGGTCATTTCAGATAGGGAAGCAAACCGGTTTCGAATTACCTGGGTACCTCAATTCCAAGAAAACCCCAAGGTATCAGTGATACGAATTTGGAGCCCCAAAAAGTTTCACCGAAATCGAAAACCCATTTTTGGCGTTCCACAGTTCCACAGAATTCTCCAACTCCTTTAGGGTTTGGGCTTCAAAATCTCTTGCAGCAGTGCTGCCATAGCTGCAAACCCCTTTTTGCAAACCAACATAGCTATGGCAGCTATGGATTCGTGTGGCTTTCCATTGGAATTGCTCTACATTCATTCATGGTGGAATTTTATGGAATTTTTCCATATCCGTTTCTTTTTGGTCTGCTGGAGGCGCCAAGGGGCATCTCTATTTCACTTTTTCCATCCCAGTATGGCAAAACGCGCCCAAAAAAACTGGTCGTTTTTAGTAGTTTCTATTTGTTGGCTCAAAGATTCCCAACATGAAACATCTAAGTGACTGGTTTATTGGTTAAAAAATGCCCATCATGAAACATCTTAGTATTTGTTTTATATAAATCGGGTTCGCATGAAACATCTAGGTGTTTCAATGTGTTTCATAAAGTTAGATTTCTAACCCCATGCTATCACCAGGGTCATCACCAAGGTACCACTAACCCCTTGGTGCAACATCTGTCGGTACCAGGTTATGACCACCTAACCATCGAACGGTGTACCACCAAGGTTAGCGTCGGCTCCTGAGATGTACCAAGGTCATCCGATCTTCGAAGGTTCGAGCCTTAGAAATTCTATGCTGGTTGGTGGTTCTATGCTGGTTAATAATGGTGGTTATGGTTAACCATTATGGTTAATGATGGTTCATAATGGTTAATAACAGAGGTTAATAATGGTGGTTCATAATGGGAAATTTAACCATAACTGCTTGGTGGTTGTATACCTACCTACCCTTCTGAAAAATGATGGAGTCATGGACTTCAGTTGGGACTATGACATTCCCAACTGGTTATGGAAAGTCATAATCCAGCCATGTTCCAGTCACCACCAAGAATTCCATTGGAATATCATGCGATTCATGGGATGTTTTTCAGCTGTGATGATAAAAAGTGAGCATTTGATGTGGATATGCTGGGGATACAACGGGAATTTTTTTTTGCCTGATAATATGTCTTCGTCTGAAAATGGTGCTCCTATTTTTCACTAGTTCATGATTATCATCTTCTCCAGTCAAATTGCCATACTGGCTCGGGTATAGCCCATGTTCAGACATCCTCATATGATACAGAAAACACATCTCTACCAAGTTTTACCAAGCCACCAATCTTCAAGTAACAAGCTCGCCAAGTCGATGATGGCTTTGTATATGGTGCCAACATCAATCAGATTGGGTTTGAAAATGTTGCGAAAAACGATTCCATCCCAAGGGTTCGACTATCAAGTTTCCCGTTGTTTGATGGCCGTCAATTCCAGGTATCTCCGATTTTTTGGGACAAAGCCTCTCTTGGATCATCATCCCGTTTAAGTTGGCCAATCATTTTTTTAAGAAAAAGAAACACCAACGAGAAAATTTTCCTGAACTGAGACACAAAATATTTGGAACCACCAAGCAGAACACCAGCTACCTTGGACCTTCCAAAACCATTGCTACTGTCATTGCAAAACCTTTAAAAAAAATCCGCAGCAAATAGATCATGTGTCAAGAAAAATAGCAATCAATGGATAGTGGCATGTCGTAGTTGTATGTACTTGTAATGGGTAGAGAATTGCTACAATTCTTCCCATGGTAATGGGTCAACAACTTGGCTATTTAATGTAATGGAGAATGAGTTAGAATATTTACTGGCTAAGTCTCCAGTGATGGTTTATATAAATCCCTACTCTTCATGGTTACCCTCTGGTAAACTAACTTGAGAGGGGGAACACGAAAGGTAGGTAAGCAAGAAAGGAACCGAAGAAAAAATGAAGGGGAGAGGGCAGGGAAAAAAACATAAAGTGGAGTCTGGTAAAAGCGACGCGGCCAGTTTCTTTCCAAAAATATGAAGGGGAGTCTGGTAAAAGCGACTGAAAGGCTTCGGCGATGTGGTTGGGGTTGGTGGCGGTTGTGGTGTTGGTGGTGTTGGTGGTGCTGGTGGTGTTGGTGATGTTGGTGTTGTTGGTATTGGTGTTGTTGGTGTTGTTGGTGGTGGTAGTGTTTCTGGTGTTGTTAGTGTTGTTTGTGTTGTTGGTGTGGTTGGGTTTGTGTTGGTGTTGTTGGTCGTGTTGTTGGTCGTGTTGTTGGTGTTGGTATTGTTTGTGTTCGTGTTGTTGTTGTTGTTGTTGCTGTTGTTGTTGTTGCTGCTGCTGCTGCTGATGGTGTTGGTGGTGTTGTTGTTGTTGTTGTTGTTGTTGTTGATGTTGTTGTTGTTATTGTTGTTGGTGTTGTTGTTGTTGTTGTTGTTGTTGTTGTGTGTTGTTGTGTGTTATTGTGTGTTGTTGTGTGTTGTGGTGTGTTGTGGTGTGTTGTTGTGTGTTGTTGTGTGTTGTTGTGTGTTGTTGTGTGTTGTTGTGTGTGTTGTGGTGTGTTGTGGTGTGTTGTTGTGTGTTGTTTGTGTTGTTGTGTGTGTTGTTGTGTGTTGTTGTGTGTTGTTGTTGTGTTGTTGTGTGTTGCGTGTGTTGTTGTGTGTTGTTGTGTGTTGTTGTGTGTTGTTGTGTGTTGTTGTGTGTTGTTGTGTTTTTTTGTGTTGTTGTGTGTTGTTGTGTGTTGTTGTGTGTTGTTGTGTGTTGTTGTGTGTTGTTGTGTGTTGTTGTGTGTTGTTGTGTGTTGTTGTTTGTTGTTGTGTGTTGTTGTGTTTTGTTGTGTGTTGTTGTGTGTTGTTGTTGTTATTGTTGTCATTCGTTGTTGTTGTAGTTGTTGTGGTTGTTGTGGTTGTTGTGGTTGTTGTGGTTGTTGTGTGTTGTTGTGTGTTGTGGTGTGTTGTTGTGCGTTGTGGTGTGTTGTTGTGTTGTTGTGTGTTGTTGTGGGTTGTTGTGTGTTGTTGTGTGTTGTTGTGTGTTGTTGTGTGTTGTTGTGTGTTGTTGTGCGTTGTTGTGTGTTGTTGTGTGTTGTTGTGTGTTGTTGTGTGTTGTTGTGTGTTGTTGTGTGTTGTTGTGTGTTGTTGTGTGTTGTTGTGTGTTGTTGTGTTTTTTTGTGTTGTTGTGTGTTGTTGTGTGTTGTTGTGTGTTGTTGTGTGTTGTTGTGTGTTGTTGTGTGTTGTTGTGTGTTGTTGTGTGTTGTGGTGTGTTGTGGTGTGTTGTTGTGTTGTTGTTTGTTGTTGTGTGTTGTTGTGTGTTGTTGTGTGTGTGTTGTGGTGTGTTTTGTGTGTTGTGTGTTGTGCGTTGTGCGTTGTGCGTTGTGCGTTGTTGTTGGTGTTGTTGTTGTTGTTGTTGTTTGTGTTTTTGTTTTTGTTGTTGTTGTTGTTGTTGTTGCTG